GTACCATAGCACAGCCAAGTGTTATACTGATTGATACAAATATCAATAAAAGAAAAAATTTCAGTATTAAGAGATGTGATTTAAAAAAAAAAGTCCTTAATGAGGCAAAACTGTAAAAGGCAGACTGGTCTTAATAAAAGAAAGAAGTTCTTGCAGTTAGGACAAAAGTAGAGATCTTGTGTTCAACCAGACCCTGCAAGACCACTGGTGAGACATGAAAAAATGGACAACTATGGTCAGGGAATTTAAACTAGATGATTTCAAAGATGTTTTCAAATGCTAAGATGTTATGATCTATGATTGACAATGGATTTCTAATATCCATTTCTAATATGTAGAAGATAAAAAAGGAGAAACAGTTTATCCTAAGTAATAATCATTTAATATTATGTACAAGCAACATCAAAAGATAAAATTTTCCAGGGACTAACAAGAACCTTATCTAAAACACCAAAGAACTCAAGAGTCCTATCCTTCATAGGTAGAATCAAAAGTTCCCCTTTCCATCAACAATGCCACCTTTCTCAAAGTACCACAGAGTTATCTCACAAGTTTGTTACATCAATCCAGAACTCATGTCACAAGGAGGCAATTTCATTAATAAAGACTTTTTACACAATCAAGAGGTTTCTCAGTGGCACCCTTGAACTATCTTGAATTAACCTCTAGAAAGGTTAGGAGGAAAGGAGTACTTTTGGACTCTGGAAACCATGTTTTATTTTTTTATGCAGCGATCATGTTCAATCAAAGCATCCCTTGTTTAAATTACAAGGGTAAATTGCTAAGCTTCAAACTAAGGGACATTACTTAATTTTGTTCCCTGAAAACATGCTAAGAAGAGCAATGTCTACATGTCACATACACACTGGTATTGTTGAACAATCTGAAGACCTGACTGAAGGAATGATCTCAGCCACTTACTAAGTTTGTGACCTTTGGCAAGTTACTTGGCTTTTATGAGGCTCAATCTTTTCATCTGTAAAATAGGGTTTATATCTACTTCATAAATGTGCCATGATTTAAATGAGATAACGTGCTCTGTGAATTGGAAATGGGATTCAAATATAAGATACCGATGAAGTATCTAATAGACCAAGTGTTTGATAATTAATAAAGCAAGAACAGTAATCCAAGCACTCAGGAGGTTGAGTCAGGAGGACTGCCAGTGTAAGACCATCCTGGGATACACAGTGAGACCCTGTCTCAAAAATAATAATAATAAATAAAATAAAGTGAGAAAGCAAAATGATCAGTCTAGATTCACTGAATTTATTCAGAATTTCATAATTTAAAAAATCCAGAAATAATTTAATTCCAATATATCTAGGTTTTGTGTTTTACCATTTCCTATTGTTTTTATTTTTTACTTCATAAGAATCACATATAATCTTTTGAGTGTTAAGGATTTCTACAGTTCTTAATCTGACCTTGTTTGAGCTTATCTTGAATAGATTCAATAACTACTGTGAGCAAAAGCATACAAGGCCCAATGACATTTCAAAGAAAGATACACTATTTTTATGTCACATGGGCCAATTGTTTATTTCCTGGTACTTGTGAGATATTTCAACACAAAATGGAAAAGTGTGTGGCAGCATGAGCAACTGCAACAAGTGCATTGCAAAACCCGCATGGCCTTTTATGAGGATGGAAACTTGGATATCTGGCATATTTGATCATGAGAATGGAAGATGCAGCTTAACTGCACAAACTAATTATGCCTACATAAAGACAGATTATGACATCATCAGAATCAAGAGGGCCCTCTGTGTAGCTCAGACCTGAAGTTCCTTAATACTATTTTCTAGAAAATCTCATAAATGCATGCCTTGTTTTGATAGCACATGCAGGAGGAAAAGCCAGAGGCATTGTTCTGCTTCCCTCTATAATGGCCACATGCTAAACAGTCCATGGTTCCTGTATTGAAAGCTCCCACACTGATGAGTTAGAGGAGAGCCAGGCAGGAGGTGCCCCCTTTTGTTGCTGCTTTCATTTTAAGAATGAATCATAATTTCTACATTGGATACAAAGATGGGTTTACAGCTATTAGCCATCATCTTAATAATTTAGAAAACACATGCCCAATCACTTGTGTTCCTTCAATTCCCTATGAACACAGCTGCAACCCACATTAGAAGCGAGGGTGAATGGATATTTTTCAGATGAGATATTTGGGCTGAATTATTAGGGTAGCCTGTACTACAAAATTACTAATAAACATTGCTTCTGGCTCAATTTAGCCTGAACTCAGTGAACCTAGCCAATGGTGACAAATCAAAAACTCTGAAATACCCGATGAATGAATCTCACTAATCAAGGAACCCTGTAGGAAGTAGATGCCAGGATTAATGAGCCAGTAGTTCCACCTTGCCATGCTGTTATTTCTTCACATAAATGCCCTCAGATGAGATTATCTTTATGCCATGAAAGGGAGAAAAGGAAGGTTACATTCTTTCAACTGACAGGTTACTACTGCCATTACTAGAATCACATCTTTGTGAGCTAAGTTTTATCCTTATCCCTCAAAATTAAAATATTAAAGTCTGCAATACAAATGAAAACATATTTTCATTTTCAGGGAATAAAGTTGCAGGGGGCATCAAACATAAATTGTCCCAAAGTTAGAATTTCATCAGTATTTCCTCCACGCATGTATATTCATATCCACATTGATTTACCCAAATTGCTCTGCATTCTATTTTGATTCAATATCCAACCTCATCCTTAGAAGATAGCATTGCTATTATAGTTTCCCCCATCAATAAAAGGCAAGATAAGTGCAACGTCTTTACTCTGCCATCACTTGTATACCAACTATGATATTTAGTACCAATATCAAGAAGATAAAGATACAAGGATGAATATGTGTATTAAAATAAATCAATCACACAGCTATGTCATAATGGACTTTGACTTTTTCTGGCTGGCATGTGGAGACTGTATTCAATGCCACCTAGGCCTCTCAGCACAAAATATAATTCATCAGAGGCTAGACACCTAGCACGTTGTACTTACCTGCCTTGCATCTGATATTATTCACCATTATTTATTTCTTATTAACTTAAAACTATTATAACTTTAACAGTTTTGAGTCAGAGTTGCTATAATAATGAGTTAAAAATAATATGAAACATTCTGTTGTTAGACTTTCCCCCCTCCCCTCAAAAAGCAGAAATCTTTGTGGTTGAGATTCTAATTCTGTGCTTTTTATCTTTGCTAAATTGCCAACCTTAACAATTTAGGCCAGGTTGCCTTTCCTTGTCCTAATGGCACATATGACTTTATAATGGTCAGGATTCCTAATACAAAAATCTATTACCATAGAAACAAATATTATTCTAGAGTCAGGTCAAGTGAAAAACTCTGTACACTTTCATTTTAACATTGATAAATAACTACTATATTATAAAATATAAGTATATTTGAAAGCATCTATCACTTTGATTTGCAACTTCTCATCAGTGTTCTGAGTCGGCCCATTTTTTTTTCAAATGAAAAATTCCATTTCCCTTGCCTTTGAGAAATACAATTTTTAAAGATTCCACTTAGCATCCTTTATTGCATTCCTACATCATAAAGTTATGCTTTATAGCAGCATAAAAAAGCTGTAAAATTAGCATCCTTGTAAACAACCTTCGATGCTCAGTAGTGAAGCAATCTGTGATTTGTACTGATCTCTTAAATGTGAGTGGAGATTACAGTATCCACGATTTAAAAAAAAAATTTAAGTGCACTAACATAAAACAAAGGGGAACATAAAAAAACAAAAAAAGTTGCATCTGTCTCCTGATATTTCAGAACTTTGGGGGTTGTGCTGCTAAATTCTAGTGTACACTAAAATACAGAAATGTCCCATTTTTATGTGAAATCCCAACTTAGCATGTTTTCTCTTCTTTAAATACTTTAGGGTTATACTAAAACATTCTTTAGAAAATGTAGAACTGAAATATTCTGTACACTCACTCACCAACTTACCTCTAATTAAAATTCCTAAAGTAACAGCAACATGGGGTTTTCTTTATCACAAAAAAAAATCCCTTTTTGTCCTCACCCTTAAGTAGATTTCATTGTGTTCTCTTAGCTGAGTAATGATAACAATGCACGAAGTTCCTAAAATTCACATTTAGCCCAGTGGTACACAACTGTATTCTCGGACAAGGGTGTTTTTAGGATTGACACCCTGGAATAAACACTGAATTTCAAACACCAGCTTGATTTTGGTTAGTTTCCAAGGCAAGCCTGTGCTATCGTTTTTACCTCCACGTTTAAAACACACGGGCGATCTTCCCGCTCAGATTACAAGAGAAAGAGCAAATTTTTAGTACTTGTTGAGGGAAGTCCCCTGAGCACGTGGCTAACGTCGAGGTTAGCTGGCACCAGGCGGCACTGGGAGAGACCTGCAGAGCAGCCCGGCGGGGCCTCGCCTTGCACGGCGCCTCTTGGGACGTCCAGGGTCGGTGCAGCTGAGCCTGGGTCTGGGGACACAAAGGCACGCGGCCGCCTGGTCCCGCAGGCCGGGAGAAGGCGAGAGCCGCGGCCTCCCGCGCGCAGGACGAGCAGGGACCAGACGCGGGAGCACTGGACCGCGGTCCCGTGGCACCACGGCCTCCCCAGCACCAGCATGCGCACGCAGCCCGCGAGGGGCGCCCTCCAGGACGCTTTTCCGCCGTGGGCTCTGCGTTCCGACATCGAAGCCCAGGTTGGCCCCAAAGCCTGGTGAGGCTCGAGCTCGCGTGGGGCGCCCGTGCCCTGCCTGGGGGCTGCTGGACTCAATATCAGGCCTTCAGGAGGGACGCTGTCCCCAAACGCACGGCCTCACCACGGAGGCCTCATTGTGCTGCCCAGACACTGAGCCCAAGTCTACTCAGGGGTATCCCGATGCGGAGCCCCCGCCAATAGAGCGCCAATAGGAGAACCCCCAAGCCCAGCCCTCCCTCCTCTCCCCTCCCCTCAGGGCCTCCCGCCATTCAATGTCACACCAGAACCCATCATTCTCTATATCACATACCGAAAATGATTTTATTTTATCCATTTACATTTAACTTGATATAAACTTGTCCGGAAAAGTCAAATAATATGCTTTATGTTAGCTCAAACATTTATTAAGAAAACCAAATTCCATAAATAAGCACAGACAATAAGTTAAAACATATCACAAATTGACCAGTATGTAACAAGAATGCTTTATCTACACAAAACATCCTATTTCACATGTTTGTTCATTCTTAGAAAGCGCTTCTGTTCTCTGGGTTTGGATTTGACCAGCACATGCAGAAAGAGCTGATTGTGTTTCTCTGTACAAAGTTGCAGGGTTGTAGATGTCCAAGTGCACCCATGGGCGGCCGGCAGGTGGCCGAGGGGCACAAGGGACGACAGGACGACCACAAAACAACCAAGGGCACAGAGCAGCGAGAAGAGAGAAACGGAAAAGGAAGCAAACAAACCCCAGTCCTGAAGGATCCAGAGAAGAGATGTGACTTTTGCTTTTACAAAAAGAAAGCTTCCTTACATGTTTATTTTATTCTTCCTTACAAAGACTTATCAAAATGAGTAATTCACCTCTTCATAACATCACTGCTTTAGTGTACACCAGCCACCCAATCCACTGGCACGTTCCTCCTGAAAAGCATTCCCTTCTATACCCTCACCAAGTTGTGCTTAAGAAAATAAAAATAAGATCAAATGAAAGCGTTCTTTTGCAAGCCGATAGAGGGCCGCAAGAATGTGACTGGAGAGACGGGGCAAGGGTAGGTAGGTGGTGGGCGAGGTGAGAAAGAGAAGAGATTGGAGAAAGAATACAAGGAGAAATCAAATGGTATCTGTTAGGCCCTCAGATGAGGCGGCTGGTAGCAGATGCTTGTCCTCCTTTAAGACAAAAATCCCTAACATTGTGCTGTCCCTTGAACACGTCCGTGTGTGACCTAGGTGCACTGTGTCTGTGCGCGCGCGTGTTGTGTAGTGTCTGAGCGTGAGCGAGAGTGCGAATGTGTGTGTGCGTGTGTGTTTCTGCCCACAAACCAGTCCATTGGTGTCTGATTTCAGATCCTGAGTCGACTCCCTGGTAAGTAAAATGGCGGGAAGGATGCTTTCTGCCGGGCGTTGGAGGAGGGGCGGGAGGCGCGGGGAAAGAAGGAGCCAGAGGGGAGGCGCGGGCGAGGAGGGTCGTCGGCGTCGTGTCCTAGGTGTGGGTGGGAACGCCGCGCGTCAGAAGGCCGGGAGCAGGGCGCGAGCACTATCAGTGCGAGCCGGGAGGCCAGGGGGTGGCAGGAAGGGTGGCATGGGGCGCTGGAGGCCCGGCCGCGGGAGGAGCTGGTCGGGAAGGAAAGACGACCTTGGGAGGCGGGGGACCACGGGCGAGCGAAATCAGGCGTGGGGAGGCCTCGCAGACTGGGACTGGTGGGGAGCCCGAGCGAGTGGAGGAGAGAGGCCGGGACCAAACGAGAGGGACGGGGCGGGACGGGGACAGGGCGCCAGGCCGGGGCCGGGCAGGGAGAGGGGGGACCGGGCGCGCGCGGGACGGGCCTCGGGGTGGCCCTGGGGCGGCGCCGGGGCGAAGCGGGCCGAGGCGCGGCTGCATTAAGTGAAGCTCATGGAGACTGTGTGCTCTAGCGCCTTGCGGCGGAGGGAGGCGATGCTCGTGCCCCGCCACACGTCGCTGCTGTCCGGAGAGCTGCAGAGCTGGGGCGAGCCGGAGACGTTGCTGGGGCCGGGGAGGGAGGCGGGCACCATGCCGGGGAAGGCGGGCTGGTAGAGGTGCGACTGCAGCCCGGCGCCGTTGGAGCCCGCCAGGCTGTTGGACAGGCCCATGGAGTTGGGCGGCGGCCCAGCCGCCAAGCTGCACTGGGACAGCGACTGCGCCATGGCCTGCTGCCTGCCCAACGCCGGCGGCAGGGGCAACTGGGACACGCCCGGCATGGCGGCCGCCGCCCAGCGGGTGTCGTTGGCGTGGAAAGAGCACAGGCTGTCGCCCATGGCGGCGGCGGCAGCGGCTGCGGCCGACGGAAACTGAGGCAGACCGGGCGTGGGCAACAGCGTGCCAGGCGCGCGGAACACGTTGGTCGTCTTCTTGCGCTTCTTCCACTTGGCGCGTCGGTTCTGGAACCACACCTGGAGCGGGCGGGGCGGGAGACAGACAGGGCGCTATTAGCAAGTCCGGAGGCAAGGGCGCCCAGGGCTTGAGCCCCGAAACCCGCATCAGTTACCAACTCAGCCCCAGGCCCAACCGGTGCCATTGGCACGGCACGCACTGCACCCAGCCAGAAACGCGAGTTCTCCACCATCTCCTGGCAATGGAAGCCCCTGTTACCCACCAAGCGCAGACTTCCGCGCCAGCGATTGATGGTGATCGTGCCCCACGGCGCTAAACCCAGGGCAAACACACCACCGTGGGCAGTGTTCACACTGGCACCGTCTACGCTGCACAGATGGACGGGTCTCCAGGCTGCCATGTGTCAAGGGTCGACCCGTAGGTGGACAAATGAAGATAAACATGTGTACCCATGTGGCTTAATAGCATGTCTTATAACGCTGATGGGGTAGAGAATTTTCAGAAACGCGGGAAATTTGGAAATTGATGAAAGGCCGTGGATGGCATAGCCAGTTTCAAAATCGAAAGACAAAGGAAAATCCCTAACACCACGGTTGACAGAGCAGAGAGGTTAATACAGTGATCCATGTGGGAAAGTGAGCCAATGAGCTGCAGGGTTGTTTGGGTCGCCACGGAGACTTCTGATTCCTCCCACAGCTCTTGGTGCCTCTTTCCTAAACCACTCTAAGGACACCTCTATCTGGGCTGTGCAGGTGTGCTGGGACCTGCTGACGGAGCCCTGAGCCCCAAGGCCTTCAAGTCTATTCTTTTCAATAATTTACCTAGGATTCCAAGACACAAAGCCTCAAGCCACCTCTCCCTCTCATTTATAAACTAAAAACATATTTTCTGATCAACACAACTGAAAGGAGCTCAAGTTTAAAACTCACACTAGTTATGAAACAAATTTTAATTCTGCTGAGGCCAACCTAGAGGTCCATATGTAAAATACACTCCAAATGAAAAGAAACCCCCTACTCTTTTTAACAGAGCCCAGGAATTTCACACCCTACTAGGTAAGTTTGTCTGCAGGTGTGAAATTTACTACCATGGGGAAAGAGTTCTGACTGAAAGATAGCAATTAAGCTACCAAACCAAGATAACCTCCCATACCCACTTACTTGAATTTTGTCTTTAAGAGAAAAAAAAAAAATGCCAGCAGACTTCCAGTTTAAATTCTAGTCAGCTGGAGGTCTGCCTAAATACACAGCTCAAGTACTGAGTTTCCTCTTAGAATTTGGTTAACACAATTTGACCACCACATTCATGACCCAAAAGGCGATTCATTTAATCTAGGCAGTGTTTACTCCGCAAGCTAACCAGTATCAGGAGTATGGATATACTAGCCCTCATTCTTGGTAAACCAGCCTTTCACAGCCCTATGTTCACACCAGGGCAAGGGAAGATATACTCTCAGCTTTCCAGTAGAGAGAGAGAGCTTAGAGAATTGCAATCTAGAATCTTCTTAGAACCTGTCCTTACCTTCCTGTTTTACCCACCCACCACTTTATCTTTCTCTGGTTTTAGCCCATTTCCTGCATGCTGCCTACCAGGGTATCAGGGGGGTAAATACACCCAGTCCTTCCTTGCTGCAGTCCCTGAGCTGGTGGCACCTTGGATTAATGAGGCAGCAGGGCCCATGGCAGTGCATGGAATCAATGCTGCCCAATAGAGCCGTCATTGGCCTTTGGTGGAGAGCAAACCTCAGCCCACAAACACTTTTGCAGCACCCACCCAACACTGGATTCAGGGGAATTAAATGGGAGGGTGTCCTTGACACAGACAGTGAGTGTCTGTGTCCAGAGGACTCCCACACTTCACATGAAGCACCTGGATATATTTTGAAAGCTATCTTATAAAGCCAAGACCTCCTAATACCCTGCAAGTGCCAGGGAATCCTAAAATATTTGGTGGTTTGGAGGGGGTGAGGTGGAGGAAGGAGTAGAGAAATAAACCAAAGACAGAAAAGGGCAGAGGATTGTCCAGTAGAATTTCAATAGCAAACATTGCTGCTAGAAAGGTTTTTGAATCTAGGACCTGCTCATGCACGGAAGGAAAAGAACTAAATATTCCAGGAATAATCAAAAAATCATGCTCAATTATGTTTGAGGTTAGTAGTCAAACGATGGCTACAAATTTTTTTATGTTTCATGGCTTACTAGGGTTGGGGAAAAAAATCTGCATGGGATTTGAGCATCTCCGTTCCAAGCTATGATGCATATGTTTTTAAAATGTGAATGTTTCCACATGAAAACTAGAGCATGACGGATTAAAATACAGGCAAGACCTAAGGGAGGTTTTCAGAATGCACAGATGACAACTCCAGGAGATATATTAACCACAGCCACAGGCTAACTTTGTACTCAGTTTGAAATGCAGCTCTTCTCAGAAAATGCTTAATACAACAGTGAGGATCTAATGGAGGTTGGAATCTAAAAATCCACTTTCATGATATCTGCTGTTACAGTAATATAGACATACTGTAAATGTATTTTAAAATATATAGCCCGTTTAATTCCCCAGCTGTAAATGGCTTAGAAATAGAGAAAGAGGGGGAGAAAGAAAGAATATTACTTTTTCCCCCTTGAAGCAAATGCTTTATGAAGATCTCATTGGAATCCAGCAAATGATTAATGTGAAGATTTGGGAGGAAATCTGGGGAGCTGTATTAAAGCCTAGATCTCAGGTTCATTTGGATCAGCCAGCCGTGAACTCTGGGCCGAATTCATTACACTTTAATAGTGTTGGGAGAGGAAGAAAATGCAATTTCTCATTCCATTAGAAAACTAGAAAATACTCTCAGCTTGTCCCCCTATTAAGATGTGGCAGGTGACAGGGCCATTCTGGGGGACACGGTCAATGGAATTACAGCACATTATTTTTGTTCGTATAAAATATTGAAAGGCAAGCCTGACTGTGCAGAAGTTATTTCACTGATTTGGTTTTTATGTAAATAAAATATTGAAAGTTAATTAATCCGTGCTAGAGACTAATGATTATGCTTATTATATTGCATTTGATCGCGTAATTTGCATGATTCTCGCATTGCTGCTTAATAAGCCATTCCAGGTTATAAATAATTCTGAAATTGGTTTCTAATAATGGCATGCTATAAAAGGAATGGTTTTATTACACTAGCCAGGAATGGGGAGCAGTATCAGACATGGAATTGCCTCCATGTGAGTAGAGGTACTCAATAAATACTTAAAAGTGTGATATATACCAGGTAGAGACAAAAATGAGTATATCGAGTAATTTAGCTTAGAATTAAAAAAGCATCCCTGAAAACATACAATTGCGATAAATTAAATGTTTAGATCATTTTTAATCAGTGCAGTGGCCCACATACTGAAAAGAATGTGTGGCAATCTGTTAACTATAAAGAAAACTATGAAACACTCATCATATAAGAACATAAACCAATTACTATTTAATTTGAATTTGGTCAAGGAGCAATGGTACAGTGAATTTTGAAGTAAATACATTTTCCGTAAATTATTTTTGCATTACATTACATAATGTTAATCATTTTGAAATGTTAATTAAGAAGGTTATGTTGATCTGATTACTTTTTAAACTATGAAACATTATTTTTTTTAAATATTGAAATTGTCATTCTATTAAATTGTTTCTATCAGCAGCCTCAAGCTATTATCTTTGGTTGAACATTATCCTAGAACAATTAACATACTTTGTCTCTATCTTCTTGCATAGTCTTTTGTGTAGTTTTTGAAAATAACTATTTCTATCCTGCAATTTATATTTTATTTCATTTACAACTTTTTCTATTAAAAGAATCACTGTCATTAACCTTTGGAAGACCTAATAAAGTTTAATAGACCTCGTTTTCTTTTTTCATAAAATCAGTTGTCCAATTATATTTTATTTGTGATTCTAAGTTCTATTTTAATTTGAACTAATTACCAGTATGTCTGGATTAAGGCAGGGCATCTCACTCTTTAAAACAAAAGTTAATAGTTAACATTTCTCTTGAGGGACTAAAAGCAAATTTATGGTTTTGAACCTATAAGCATATACTATCATTGGCATAGTATTGAGTTTGCATATTTCTGTGAAGGTTTGAACTAAAGTTCAGATTTAAAAAGAGGTAAGAGGTAAAACATTTAAAGGGCATTAAGAATGTATATATATATATTATATATAATATATACACACACACACACACACACACACACACACAATGCATTAGCACTCTTTCCATGTGTAATTTCAGTGGCCCATGCTTCAGGCCTTTCAGAATTCTTTTACAAAACCACCCAGAGTTACATTACACAAAAACCTTAATCATTATGAGCATTACTTTATTAATGTGAGCATTTTACGTCCCTGATGACATTCATTTTCTATTAAAATAGAAGCTCATTTAGACTAGCTTTAAAAGGTCAAATGTAAACAGAAATATTCAACACTGATCATAGGCACCTCGTCTCTCATGTCTTAGGTCAAACGTAAAGTAACTGAGATCTTTAAAGTTAACTTATAAAAGCAGATAATGCTGATTTAACAAATTAGTCAGGTTGACACCCGGGGAACTGGACAGAAAAATACCAAGGTCCAAGATAGCGAAGAAAGATTTTCAGCACCCTGGATAGCTCAAGACTAAGTGTATGTCTGGTTCCAGGCACCTGTCCATAAAATATTTTGATGTTGTTTTCGTTCTTTTTAAAAGAGGAAAAGAAATGTGGGATTCATTAGGATTATACTTTTATTCCCCAATTTTCAGAAGTTAAAGGTGTGATTTTTCTAGGTTATGTATCATTTACAACTTTGAGGGTCGTTTAGATAAGAATAAGGAGTCAGCAACGATTTTTGTCTACTATGGATGAGCCTTCCCCTCCCGCCCTAAATGTGCTTTCTTCCTGTCGGAGATCTACAACAGAAAGCCTTCGTTTCCCACCCCATATCCCAGTTTACTTAGGGGAATCTTTAAAAATTAAAAAAAATTTAAAAATAAAATAAAATAAAAACAGAGCTCACAGGCCGAGAGGCTGTCAGTCACTCCCAGCTCATTGGTAGACCACCACGTTCAAAACCTTTGCAAACATCAAAGCTAGGAGGTGTTTTGTTTTGTTTTGTTTTGTTGAGGGACACGAGGAGAGGATATTTAAAGAGAATAAAGCCACACCATGAAACCTGAGTGTGGCTTTTTTTTAAGGCACTCGTTACGCCTTATTTTCGTGTTTTCTGTGTAATTGTTGTATTTCCCTATCCAAATGCTTAACACAAACTCATTAGCGGGTAATGAATACTTGTCAATAATGCGAGCTGGAGTTGAGGTATGCCTGGGCTTAGGTGGCTGGCTGGGAGACGCAGAGGTTGCCTTCCCCAAACCCGCAACCCAGCAACGCCCAGCTTCGCTTTTGAGGAGTTTCGACCCGAATGTACTATACTGATGGGAGACTGGTCTTGCAGGTCCTTTGGGGGCCTGGTGATCGGGACCAGTTTCTAGGCAGAAAAAGAGCTAAGTCGAACCAGGAATGCTTAGGCAACCAGAGCGCAACCCGGGATTCCGGAACGGGAAGAAAACACCCTGCGCTCCCTTATCCTTCCGCGCCCTCCTTGCCTTCTGTCCGAGTCCAAACCCCGCGTTACCTGCACTCGGGACTCGGTCAACCCGATACGCAACGCCAGCTCCTCACGCATGAAGATGTCGGGGTAGTGAGTCTTGGCGAAGCTCCTCTCCAACTCGTTGAGCTGTGCGGGGGTGAAGCGCGTCCGATGGCGCTTCTGCTTCTGTTGGCCCTGCTGCTGGCCGGCCTGGCTGGGGTTGGGGCCGCCCTGGGGCCCGGGCTGCTTGTCTGGGTCTTTGGCGCTTACCGCCAGCGAAGCGGGAGTAGAGCCCACTGTGGTGATGTCCTCCCCGGGCAGCAGAGTGGCTCCCTCGACGGGGTCGGAGTTGGGCGCCAGGTCCCCTGGATGGCCCCCGGGGTCGGAGCCCCCTACGCCCAGCCTACACTTCACCGCCTCCCGGTGGCCCAGAAGCTCGGCGGCATCTTTCATACCTGAGGAAGCAAGGGGACCTCGGTCATACTTTCCTGGCGAAGCCAGGAGGGACTGTCTTCCCTGCACCTTCCTCCTTCAGCTCCATCCTAGGCTCCCTCCGCGCTTACGCTTGCCCTATGAACGAAACTCCCGTGGTGCTCAGCTGGGTTCCCCAGGATTTGGACAGCCAGTGGGGGATGACATCTCCCGGCCCTTTCCCTTCCCTCCGTAGCCGGCTCCTGTAGTCCACAGCACATGCTAGCATTTCCCCACAACAAAACGCTCCCAGGCCCGGCAATAAAACATGCCTGAGTCCCATAAACCGTACCCCCAGCGCCCCAGGCAATCGAAGCAAATCCTCGGGCAAGGATTGAGGGACAGGGGGTACAAGAAAGAGAATTCAAAGATTCCTTGGGTGCTGTCCCACCTAAGCTTAGTCTAAGAAACTCTATCGTTGGCCGGTTTCCCTCTCATTTTGGGAAGACGACTAAGTCTCTCAGCCTTCCACCCCCTCGAAATCAACCCAAATCAGCTCCGCCTCCCCCTCAAATCAGAGAAAGTGTTTGGAAAATGGAGTTACATCCATCACTAAGGATTCTCAAACCGGAAACCCAGAGCCAGTAACCCAGATAGCGTTAAAGAAACTCGAGACAACTCTATAGACATAAAAGTGAATCAAACTTTAGAGGATTCAACTTTTCTTTCCGGAGAAATAAAAGGTGCGTTCCTCTCAGCCATTGGGAACGCTGAGTCCCTTGTAGAAGGCAGGACTGCCTGCCTAGTACGATGAATTTGGCTTTTCTCCTTCTCAGTCAGCACACTTAGCAAATCCGCCTCCTATGCAGCAGCTTCTCCTTCACGCCAGATTTAAAAAAAAAAAATTCAACCATACTTAGACGACGAGGAGGGAAGGAGGTAGTGGGGAGAGCGAAAGAGAGAAGGAAAAGAAAGAAAGGAGGAGGAAGAAATCCCAAATCAAAGCAAACAGGAGAGAAAAAGAGAGAACCACCTCCAAACAAATTATCACGGGCTGGATCGCCTCTCAAAAAAGTAAAGGGGAGGGGGGAAGAAAAACAAAAACTAACAACATTCCCCAACTCCTTTTTTGGATCTACATATTCCATAGATTTTTTTTAAAGAACGATGTTAAATCAAATTAAACTTTAATACAGCACAATTACTTTTAAAGAAATTAGTCCATTTAGGGCGCATTAAGGTAAAATAAGGAACAAATTGACAATTTCCTGCCCCGGCTTCTTCTGGTTGCCCGGGCGAGAAACGCGCACTCACCTAGCCTGGCGTCCAGGAGGTCGGCGTGAGACAGCATCGCGCACCGCTCCAGGGCGAAAGCTGTTCCCCCCCAAATTTTAGCGGCTTTAAGTTATTTAAAATAGATATAAGCTATAAGCTATACGATATAGATATATATAGATCACCTAAATGAAAGAAAATTCGGTTTGTGGTTAAAAAGGGGGCTTCTTGCATTATAATGTCCTTTAGAGAGACGGGGAGGTGCTTAACAGTTGAATGAACCCGTGAGCTGCTCGGCGAGGGGACCAATCAGGAGGGCAGCCTGCAAATGTCAGCGCCCGGAGAGTCCCCCACTCCGCCCGCCCGCCCGCCCGCGCCCGCCCGCCCGGAGGAGGCGGCGAAGGCAGCCCTGGCAGCTCCAGCCCCGAGCAGCCGCTAAAGCAGCGGCGACCACCTCGGCCTCGCCCTGGGCTTCTGGGCCGGCCTCCGTCAGCAATCCCGGAGGTTTTTCTCCAGGCACACCTTTGCTTCCCTTTGCCCTGCCTTACTCGCTTCACAGGTGCAGCTCGGTGTCTCAGAGGTACATCTTCCTGGAACAGGGGCAATACAGAGACCAGAGCAGGGCATGACCTCCGCGTGACCCGAGAGTCGGCCTCCGCTCGTGCGCTCTAGGCGACACTAGCCTGCTGGGGTCCAGGCTAGAGCACGAGGGCACGCCGCGGCCTCCAGACCGAGCCTAGACTTCGCCGCTGCTCTGCAGGCCTGCGCCAGGGATCCAGGCCCGGCACTGGGGCCTACAGTGTCCCAACCCGATCACCCTCCTAGAGTGCATAAAGGAGCTGGCTCCCCGGGCGCTGCGGGCGCTGGCTCTCTACTTCGGGTGCCTGCGCGCAGAGTGCGTTCCTGCGATCCGCACCCTTCCCGAGAGCAAGCCTCGCGGGTCCAGTTCCTCTGCCTGGCCCACGCTCGCGTCCTGCCCCCGCAACCAGCAATTTTGGTCAAAGTTTCTAAGTTCAGCTCGGCTCCAAACTCCACTTAAGGCTGTAAATAAAGTTAAATGCTCTTTATTTTCCTCTTGAATATGTTAAACTACTTGAACTACCCTGCACAAGTGAAGCGAACCATTTCTAATGTTCTGATTTTTCAGAGCCAGCCAACAACAAAGTTTAGATTAGTAATATATTTCTAACCAGAGTAATTTTCAAGATCATTAGGCATTTATGTAATTAGTGCCAAATCTATAAGCTTTTATTACGATTATTAGAGTAAAATCAGTATAAATTTGTACTAATTTACTACTGTTTAGACTTGGCTGTCAAGCCCAGAGGTTCTTATTGTAAATGATAACTGGTGAAATTAAGTGCAAAATTCTGTACCATTTCTGATCTGCTCCTAAACAATCCGTTTCAATTGTATTTGTAGCAGAACATAATACCCTTTTAAAGTTATTTGACTTGTATTTTTATTTGCAACACAAGAAAAATGCCCTCTACCCAAGCACAATGAAAACTGATATTTACTACTCTCAACTTGATTAACATTGATTTTTAATTCGAGAGTGATGCAATTAAGATTATTCATTTAGTGCAAATAAAGCTTCCACAAAAGGGTGGCCCTATGAAGTCTGTTTTAAATAATACCGAACAAATGGCTTTTTTTGTTCGCCGTCCAATTGACTTACACAAAACATTGGAAATGCTGCCTGTGAGCAGATGCGAGAGGAAGTGTGTGTGTGTGTGTGTGTGTGTGTGTGTGTGTGTGTGTGTCCTCAGCTGCTTGTGTGACAGGGACCTAGCAAGGAGACAAAGGAAGCGGTAAAGCGAATTCTGGGGCAGTTTTGTTTCCTGCTTCTTTCCTCCTGCACCCTGTTCAGCCTCCTCCTGTGCACACACACGTGCGTGCGCGCGCTCGCATACATACACACGTGTGAGTGAGTGCAGGGCATCGGCGACCCTGACTCCTTGCGTGCCGAGGACACCGCTCACCCGGGCTGGCCGGGCTTCAGTGGCCTCTGCCGCTGCTGCCAACACGGCCTAGCGGAGCTGGGTTCGGAGGCCGCAGATTGTAGCTTGATAGAGCCTAGGCGGCTGCAGCGTGTCTGGGAGCCTCGAGGGCGTTTGGTGCCCTTAACAGAAAGGGTTTGCCTAGGAGAATTCCAAGACCTAAAGTAAACACAGCCCCTCTGATAAAAGCTTCCTCTTCCTCAAACAAAACCCCATAACAAAAAGCTAAAGTACCCGGGGCGCAGCAGGAGGAGACCAGGCTGCAGCCCTGGGCCGGCCGTGCGCCCTCGGGATGTGCGCACCTGGCCACCAAGTCCTGGAATTCGCAGGGGTTTCTACTCATCTATGGGGGAAGCAGGGGGCTTTTGGGGTATCCAGGCCGAAATGCAGGGAGCAGAGTTGTGGAGTAGTGACTAAGGAAGGGCAAGAGAGACCGGGCACCCAGCACTCTGTTCCCGCAAATGAGCAGATTCACCGAGGTGGCTCCCCCCGAGGGCTAGAGGGAGGAGGAGATGTTGCAAGCCGGGAAAGGGATAGGGGAAGAGACTCTTGGCCTCCAAGAGTCTATATGTGTGTGCCCACAAGAGCTGGTGTCCTGTCCTCATCCCACAGCCACCCGGGCGGGATCAACCGCGGGCTGAGCCGCATCCTCCCACACGCACTGGCTCATATATTCTGTTTTGTTGTATCTTTCAGGTCGATAAATAAATGTGTAATAGTTAATGTGAAGACACATCAGAGTAATAACAATGGGACGAAATCAAAGGATTATCTATCTCTGTTAGTAACCGCTGAATAACAATGCAGCGGCGTGATTGATAGCGCGCTTCATTTTATGACTTTTCTATTGGTCTTGATTTTTATAGCAGTATAAACAAACTAAATCATTTCTTCCAAGACTTCAGAGCATAAGCATGTGGTGGGGGGAGAGGAAAGGAAGGGGGAAAAAAGAGAAAGGGAAATCTGTGAGGGGGTGGGGGTGGGGGTGACAGGGCGGTGTGGAGGCGTCGAGGCTGGGAGGACGCAAACCCGAGCTGGGGCGCGAGCCCGGAGCCTGCAGCCAGCAGGCGTGGCGAGGAAAACGACAATGGTCTGGATATAAAATGCTCGCCCCCGCGCCGGCTTTCCTCTCGGCAGCTTGTTTTGGCCAATGTCTGAATCCACCGGGGCAGCGCCTGAGATGTATTTACCAGAGTTTTATTCCCCGTCATCTTCCCACGTTCCTGGGGCAGCCGGGAAAGTGCCGGTCAGGCCCATTGCTGTTGATAATTTAAGGCATTTCCCACATGATCATGGGAACTGAAGTCCCTAACAAGGCGAGGCTTTAGCGCAATGGCCCCCAAATCTTCGGAATGACAAGAATGTCTTCAGAAATCACTTCAAAGCAAAGTAAAAGGATTTTCTATGACGGATCCAGTGATTTTTCCTCAATAAATAGGTTTTAGATTGTTACACACACGTAGAAGTGGAACAAAGGGAACTACCAGAAAATATATTGGTTGCCCCTAATAAAATTTATTTAGACAGTTTACTTCTCATAAAAAAATAGAGATTGAATTTTGTACAAGAGCCTGCCAAGGGGCGATGCACAGGGAAATCTTTTTTTTTTTTTTTCTTTCTCCTTTCCCCACCCTTATCCTTTTTAACGAAGCACAAAGAGCGTTTAAAGGCCAGGAACCGGCTCCTGGCTCCCGCCGCTCGTGCGCCCAGACCGTGCAGGAGAACGCGGTAGCTTTGAGAGAAGTAGGCTTTCCGGGAGCGATGTTTCTTTAAAAAAACCAAAATCTTGATGACCGATTTTGTAAATGACAAACAAAAAAACTGCACAACCGGCGTCTTTCCTTCTGCTTTGCCACTGTTTTAGAGCAAGACATGGAAATATGTTGTCGGTTTGGGAGGTGGGATGAGGTGGAACTGGGGTGGGAGATAGGGCAGCAAGTGCCTTAAAGATGGATTTATGCTGATTAGGTTTGCAATTCGGATTTCTACCTTCATTGTGAATCCTTTGTAGAGACAGAGACAAAGAGAATAAAAATATATCCAGGGTGCTCCGGGAAGTATTGGGTAATGTGCCCAGAGCCGTAATTGCTTTTTCCATTTACAGAAACCTCGGGTGTTTACTAAATGTAACTTTCGGCTGTTTGTGTTGTTTTTAAACTGCTCTCTTTTCTATGCAGACAGTGGGCTGAAATATGGCGCGTTATTATTCACATTCCTGCTATTAAATGCTGAATTGTAACATTGTTCCCTTTAATGAGGAGCGCCTCCCTCAATAATTAACGATCTCACATTTTCCTATTTTCTTGCCTGATGAAAAGAATCAATTTTAATTCGTGGTAAATTACAGCCATGCTTTTGGGTATTATTTGCTTACAGAAAACAAATCAAGTGACTTGAACACTCCTGTTTACTTTTCCAACTATGCAATAACCAAACGCAACGGCAAATCAGATCGTGTTTCTCAGGCCTACCTTAGAACGGGGAAAAAGATTAAAGGGTGGGGGGCAAATACAGGAGGAAAATAAAGGATGCTCTCAAGCCCACTGCATTTGGAACAATGGTGGCCACTTTTCTCATACACCCTGCACTAGAACCCGCTGTCCTCCAGCCCTACCCGCACTGACCCACCCCGACCTGGGCAGGGACCGGTAGATCACATCTGGCCACGCTGGAGTTGGTGATTGCTCCACAGATTTGTGGGAGTCGATTTAAGGGTGGGTTGGTGGAAGGAAAGAGATCTGGGAGGGCGGCCAAGTCTTTGCAAAGGGGTGCCGGGTGCTTCCACACTTTTGCATAAAAGAACTCTCTCGAGGTTCCCAGGCAGAGAGACCACAGCCAAAGAGGCTCCGGCTGAGTACTCCTGCCGGGCCGCTGTGAAAGCCTCCTCCACTCGCCTTTGGGTGGGAGCTCCCGAGGGCAGAGAGGAACGTCTTTAACTCCTAGACAAACAGGCCTGAGTCCAGCTCAAACGTGCATCCTCGGCCTGCTTCCATAGGGAGCCCAGGGACTCCTGCCCTGCCACGCACAGCCGCGTTGTCTGCCAAACAGAACCGCTGTGGCCGGCAAAAGATGCCTAGTGGACTCTGAACGCTCCCAGCTTCAGAGCCCAACGCCAAGGACCCACACTCCACGCTTGTTTTTTAACCTCAGGGAGCAGGGCTGCGTGTTCATGACACGTGTACTTGTGTAGGCAGTGGCGGGTCCATTGCCTGCTCACCTGC